ACAGGGGGGCCCAGCCAGGGCATCCCTCTGATGCCGTGTGGGCCGCCTGGGTCGCTATGGCATGTAAGGGGTGCTGGCTGTCACTGACAGAGCTCAGCAGCGGCGTTTCCCCTCACAGCCGCTGCGGAGCTGTGTCAGTGACAGCCAGCAGCTACGGAAGAAGAGGCCGGCGTTCTCAGTGAAGGAGGAGGCGAGGCCCGCCTAAGAGCAACCCCGCCTCTTCTTACATCACTGGCAAGCGACCTAAGAGCAGGTGGGGCCAGTGATATAAGAGGAGGCAGGGCCCGTCGATAGAAGAGGAGGAGGGGCCCGGGGACGGAAGAGGAGGTGGGGCCCCGGCGACCACGGAGGCAGACAGTGCTGACAGTGTGCAGCCCATCTGAGACCCTGCAGAGCCCACTATAGAGAGTCTATGGTGGGCTCTGCAGGGTCACTCTCAGGTGGGCTGTTTGGTATATCAGGTGGGCTCTGCAAGTGGCATAACTAGCAATCACGGGGGCCCCATACAAAATTTTTGCAATGGGGCCCTGTGATTTCTAGTTACGCCCCTGATCCATGCTAAAAAATAAACCAGAGAACACCAATATTCTGTCTGGGGAGTGTACTGCGTTCCAGACTCTGATGAGAGAAGACTGAGTGGCCCCGAAATGTTGCAATCTGTGTGACAATAAAGGACGTTTGTTTGGACATGCATCCCGGTGTGCTGGTGGAATATTGTTGGTAGATGGACCTGCACATGTCTCACCTTCGTAAGTGCAATAATAAAACACATTCAGGGCCTCCACGGCGGCTTCACCCCTCTGCTTGTAGCCGAAAACCAGGTCTATCCACTCGTGGAGATGTTCTGACACATACTCCGATTCCTGGCGGGGACAGATAAGATTACACTGTTATTGGTGCTCAGTGCCATCGCTGGACATCACCTCTAAGTCACCAAATGTGAACCCACCAGGGCCTTCCGGTGCTTGTAGATTAAATCTTCCCGTGACGAAGCCCATCGCGGTAACACCACGTCATCCACCTTTCCATTGGACATCTGGAGGCAGCCGAGATCAAAACCTGGAGGCGGGGGCAAAAGCTTGTGAAATAATCCCCAACCCACATACACTGTATATACAGATCCATATGTACCCCCCATACAAAGGCCCACAGTGCCCAATATTCTGTTCTGCAAAGGTGGACCTAATTACCGTCTTAGGCCTGGTTCACACCTGTACGTTTTGTAGCGCGTTCAACGCTCGACGAACGCTCTACAAAACGCTCAAACATGAAAATCCCATTGTTTTCTATGGGTATGGTTCACACCTTTCCGTATTTCAGCCCGTCTGAACGCGATACAAAACGGCCTAAGCCTGAAAAGGTACATGAGCTTCTTTGCGGCGTTTTCGTTCCGCGTTTCCATTAGGATAGAGCCAAGTAGGCCTCGGAAACGCGCGTTTGTCGCGCATTTTAACACGCATGTTCGATACGCCTAGGTGTGAACAGAGCCTTACAGTTTAATTAAACCCGATGATCAGCCTCATACATGGGCAGCATCATTTGATGTTAGCAATGGGTTTTCAACCACTTCAACTCTTCCATCTATATTTCTGCTACAAAGATTGGCAAAGTCTCGGTGGCAAAGTTCCATCAATCACAGATAGATACAATGTAATAGTTTCATTGCATTGCAACAAGCTGCCATCTCCTGTAGCATGTCTGCAGTCCCTGACCGTCTCCTGTAGCATGTCTGCAGTCCCTGACCGTCTCCTGTACTATGTCTGCAGTCCCTGACCATCTCCTCTAGCATGTCTGCAGTCCCTGACCATCTCCTGTAGCATGTCTGCAGTCCCTGACTGTCTCCTGTAGCATGTCTGCAGTCCCTGACCGTCTCCTGTAGCATGTCTGCAGTCCCTGACCGTCTCCTGTAGCATGTCTGCAGTCCCTGACCCTCTCCTGTAGTATGTCTGCAATTTCTGACCATCTCCTCTAGTATGTCTGCAGTCCCTGACCGTCTCCTGTAGTACGCCTGCAGTCCCTGACTTTCTCCTGTAGTACCCCTGCAGTCTCTGACCTTCTCCTGTAGTACCCCTGCAGTCCCTGACCATCTCCTGTAGTATGTCTGCAGTCCATGACCATCTCCTGTTGAATGTGTGCAGTCTACAAAAGATTTCCACAGTATTATATTCACTTATCATGTGTGGCCCTTTGGTGAAATCAGAAGCGGCACTTGAGGACACCTATTTTAATCGGTTGATCACTACTAGTGTTCCCAGCACATACGTCGTCCTTAAATAGGTAACTAGCACACATTTGATGGGAATTGTCACGGCAGTTGTGCAGCAGCATAAAGAACGAGCATGACTCTCCGAGTCCCCCCACTAGACGTGTTCTCCTACCGTTGGCGTTCTCCAGGAACTCGGGGAAATAGAAGAACTCTGGAATTAATTCCTTCACATCCACAGGGTTCTCCATTCGGGCTTGCCAGGCGGCTGGGATGGAGTGGAACTGACGGTCCGAACAATCAAACCTGTGAAAGGTAGATTAGTACACGTGATTAATGAATACTCACCGCAGCCAGTTACATCAAACCCGCATTGGACATCCCGCCTCTGCTCACCGTCCGCTCTGCAGCTGGATGTGCAGGGTGGTGAACGGCTCCATCCGAATCATATAATGCATCACTCCCGCCGCGTTCGAGTAGTGAGTCCCGTAATGGAACTTGTCAACGGTACCAGTGGGGTCCTCAAAGCTCTCGTACCTGCCGAGACAATGAAAGAGAAAATATTTCCCCCTCTTCTTCCACAAGAGATTAGACAGTTCAATGAGGTATTAAAAAGTCAATTCCACCTAAGGCCCCATTCACACTGAGCGATTCGCAAATCGCGCGTGCATTTTGCGCGATATTGCGCAAATGCTTGCATTGAAAAGACTAGAATCGCGGCAAAATACGCTCCAAAAAGAGTCCTGCTGTAGCGACGCACGACCCGCGAAGGCGACAGACAGAGCCCCATTGAGATGTATTGGAGAGCGATATCGCGCGGATTACCGCGATCGCTCAGTGTGAACGGGGCCTAAAGTGACAACAACAGGAGTCTGGTTGACCAAGCCAGAGCTGGGCCAAGGGGTATTAAAGGAGAACTATGTGGTCAGGGCTTTTCCCCATAGTTCTCCTTGGGGTAACAGGAGGACACAAACTAGCGTCCTCCCGTCACCCTAAGCTCAGTATATAGGGAGCTACAGCTCGCGGTATACTGAGACGCCGCAGCTGAAACGGATCCCGACAATTATGTCTGGATCCGCCCAGCTGCGTGACTGACAGCTGGCTCTGCCTTTCTAGAGGCAGAGCCAGCTGTACCCGCCCCCTCCCCCGTCCGTTCCGCCAGTCAGCGCTGGAGGATCGGACAGGGGAGGGGGGAATCCAGCCCCTCCCCTGTCACGGCTCTCTGCAGTGACACGATTGAGAAGTGAGCGAACGCCGGTATGTGTTCGCTCACCTCCCGATCTACTGAGCCGACCTGTGACAGTCTCATTGTCACAGGTCAGCTCAGATTATGAGGCTGAGCGAAAATCACTCACCTCATAGTTCTCCTTTAAGAACCAGGCAAGGCCTCCAACCTATACAGTGAAGTAGTTCCCAGGTCATGGGGATGTGGGGGGGGCTCATTTTGGCCATTATGCCTTGGGTGTTGAAGAACCTTGTCCCACCACTAGGCCGTCATCTGCTCACAGCTTATGTTTTCAGGACTTCGGTGGCCTCAGCCTGCCCTTGGCTCCGGTCCCGGCCACTCTGGAGTTTTGTGCATTCCTGCCCACCTAAGATGAAGAGTGGGACCCCATTGTATTGGTCCCAGCAAGTAGCAGACCCAGGAGCTCAGCAGAGTGATCTCCTTGAGAGCTATAATAAACCATTAGATAGAAGAACACTGCAGTATGTACCAACATGGAATATATCAGTTTTAATGAACATTCCTCCTCTGATGGAGGTTTGTGGTCTGGCCACGTCTGCTGCGGACCTCTATCCTCCACACCGACCAATAAAACAAAAGCCAGAATAAGAATCAGCCATTGGCTGCTCTGGAACTCACTTCTCTTTCACCTCTCGGGCATGCCGCTCGTTTACCACCCCGATGGGTTTGGAGAGGTCACGGAACACCTCAGGGTTATCCAAGTCCAGTGTTTCCGAGACATAGTCCTGCAGAATCCAGGGGAACTGTAAGAAAATAAAAAGAACTCAAAACAGGAAAAGGCCAATATACAAAGTCAGTTGTTAGAAAGCAAGAAACGTAGATGTTTCCATGTCTCTGTTAGGATCCAGAGCGCCTCCAGGTGGCGCTGGAGCTAAGCCCTGCAGTTTCCGTACTCACCTGCGGGGGGTCTCCAGGCAGCCAGGAACTGCTAGGTACCGGACCTCCACTGGGTGGTGCTGGAAACTGCAACTCCAGTGCTCACCTGCAGGTGTCTCCCAGCTGCCACCAATCCACCACCTGGTGCTCCCTGGGAGGTTACTTAAAGGAGAACTATGGGGTCAGTGTTTTTCCCCATAGTTCTCCTTAGGGTAACGGGAGGACACAAACTAGCGTCCTCCCGTCACCCAAAGCTCAGTATATAGGGAGCTACAGCTCGCGGTATACTGAGACGCCGCAGCCAGAGCGGATCTCAACGTAGATGACGGGATCCGCCCAGCTGCGTGAGTGACAGCTGGCTCTGCCTATCTAGAGGCAGAGCCAGCTTTACCCGGCCCCTCCCCCGTCCGTTCCGCCAGTCAGCGCTGGCAGATCGGAGCGGGGAGAGGGGAATCCAGCCCCTCCCCCTGTCACGGCAGAGAGCCGTGACAGGATCGAGAGGTGAGCGAACCCGGTATGTGTTCGCTCACCTCCCGATCCACTGAGCCGACCTGTCACAGTCATAGTTCTCCTTTAAACCCTCCCTGCAGTAAGGTCTGTGGCTCAGTATTGTTTCCTGTTAAGCCTGAGTCCCCAGTACTGTAAACCTGCTTCTGTTCCCGAGTCCTGTATCCTGTGTATGTTGCCTGCTTGTTGTCCGGAGCTGTGACCTGCTTATGTTCCCGAGTCCTGTTAGCTCCCTGTACCCTGACCTTTCGTCCCTTAGTTCCCCCGGTGTTTTGCTTTGCTCCCTAGGTGTGCTTGCCTGTTACTTTTGCATGTGGTGTGGTTTAGATGTAGTTGGTTGCTAATACTTGTTCTGTTTAGTTTATTCTGGTTGGCATATTAAAACGGTATATCAGACATTCTGCCTTGTCCTGTGTGGTCACACGTGTTTGGTCTGCCTGTGTGGGTACCTGCGCAGGTGTGGGGGTCACCTGTGCCGGTATCCTTGACAGTCTCACTTATATGAACACTCTTTAGCTGGCTTTAGCTAAGCCCTCGCCATCTTCCCAAATAGATTCTAGATGCCTTATTGTGGCTAGGAAAAGGCATGTCTAGACAGTTGCTGCTTTCATTTTTCTCATTCCTAATCTGGGGCTGTCTGCACTGTAAAGTGCAGACTGCAGACAGGCTGAATGTATACAGTGCAATGTTTTCACTGGCTGGATGTGCAACGACAAGCTCTTAAAACAACGGGAAAGTTACAGGGAAGAGGTTACATTAGCAGTATGCATCCTACTTCATCCAATTTGCACAAAGAATAAAAGGTCTAAGTCAGTGGCGTAACAATAGCCATAGCAGCTGCTATGGGGCCTGGGGGTGGAAGGGGGCCCGTTAAGGATTGCAGAGGTTGCTGTTGACACTGACCCTGTATCTCAAGTGCCATTTCCAATCAAGAAGAGCGGACATTAGATGCACAGGAGACAATGCAGACAGCTCTCCGGCTACCCGACTTTAATGTAATTGACAATAGGAAGGTCACCGAGGGGCCCCATTAGAAATTGTTGCCATTGGGCCCCATGATCTGCAATTACGCCCCTGGTCTAAGTAGTCATACATGTGCGTCTAAAAGAAAGGCCGGGGAACAAGCAGGATGGGACTTTCTGTCTGACACTCACCACTGGGTACTGAGATAGATCGTTGTAGGTCCTCCCGGAGATTGTATTCAGCTGCATCAGGTACTCAAAGTTCGAGATCTCCCTAAACATCCATTTCTGGGGGACAAGAAGAAGGTGGAGAGGTGAAGAACTTCATATGCCAAGCTAAGAAAATGATTTCTTCCCAAAGAGCACCCAACATTCCGAATGAGCACAGTGCACCCAACGTCAGACATGATATAGTGTACATCATATGTGTGTCTGTATCTGTAAAGCCCCGTTCACATTGAGCGATTTATCGCGCGGTTATTCCCGCCATATCGCGGCAAATTACCGCGCGATATCGCGGTCCAATGCATTTCAATGGGGCAAAGGGTCCTGCTGTCGCGGGTCGCGTGTCGCTACAGCAGGACCCTTTTTAGCCGCGATTCAACCTTGCTCAATGCAAGCTTGAACGCGATGTCGCGCAGCAAATCTCGCGATGTCGCGCAATATGCAAATCACGCGACAAACGCGCGATTTGCATATCGCGCAGTGGGAACGGGGCCTAAAACTGTAACGATGTAACAGATAATGTATCCAGAGAAAACGGCGTTAGAGCTGTATACACTGGCGCCAGTTTCTTGCTTATAGAAGTGCATTTATTAGGGATGCACCCATACCGATACTAGTATCGGTGCCGATACCGAGTACTTGGGTGAGTACTCGTACTCGCCCAAATGCTCCGATACCTAGCACGAGTACTTCCTGTATCGGGAAGCCGGGCAGCGCATCATTACACGCTCCAGGGTTTCCTGATTGGCCAGGAAACGGCTCCATGCTCTCTCGTCACTTATGATGAGAGAGCATGGAGCCGACTTCCCGGCCGATTGGTCAGGAAGCTAGGAAATCCCGAAGCCGGGCGCCGTGTAATGAGGCAGCGCCCGGCATTCTGATTGAACGGGAAGCCGGCGTCGTGCTCCCTCGTCATCTCATGAATCCTAATATTAAGAAAGTGACCTTAAAGCATTAGTTTGTATTGCTTTAGAAAAAATATGACCCGTCCCTTTAAGAAAAAGTATCGGTAATTGGTATCGGCGAGTACTTGATCAAAAGTATCGGTACTCGGGCTTAAAAAAGTGGTATCGGTGCATCCTTGGTATTTATTCTCGTCCTTTATTGAAATAAAAAAAGATTTTATGATACTTTGGAATGTATTATTTTGGTATAAATGGTGCGAGAGCGATGTGCTGGCGGCAACAGAGAGCGATATGATGATCAACAGGAGCCGCGCGTATTGCATTGGAGCGCATCTGACCTTTGTTTATAAAAACACGAGGCTGCATCTCTTCTGGCGAGTCCACCCAACAAAGGCGGCATCACCCAGGGGGGAGGAGTCCACAATCGCCCGAAGTGACCGATGACACTGCTTTGGTTGTATTTGCACCAAGGAGCCATCTTGGGGCCACTGCAATGATTGGGTTTCACTTTCACGATTAATTGGACTGTATTATGGAGTGCACGTTCTGGTCTAGGGACTATAATAAAGAAAATGCACTCGCCTCATCCTCGTTTCTGCTTGACCAGTCCCCGCCGCCTCTCCTCCCCCCCCACCCCCCTCCCGGGGCTCTGGCGGTCTTAGAACCCATGATGTCATCACGTCTAATGCAGCTGCATTAGACATGAGGATGTGGAGGGATATACCAGAGCCAGAGCGGAGGGGAAGAGAGGTAAGCACTCACTGCCGCAGGACAGAGGATCGGGCAATTTTTTTTTTGTTAGCCCCTACACAAAAAAGAGCACTTGACCCTCACACTGTGGGGGGTAGCGCCACTGCATGGGTTCATTTTTCGATTGCCTGGAGTTCCTTAAAGGAGAACTATGAGGCGAGTGATTTTCACTCCTCCTCATAGTTCTAGCCGACCTGTGACAATGAGACTGTCACAGGTCGGCTCAGTAGATCGGGAAGTGAGAGAACACATACCGGCGCTCGCTTACTTCTCCATCATGTCCCTGCAGAGAGCCGTGACTGACACTCACGGCTGCCAGCAGGGATTCCCCCCTCTCCCCGCTTCGATCCTCCAGCTCTGACTGGAGGAACGAACGGGGGAGGGGGCGGGCACAGCTGGCTCTGCCCCTAGATAGGCAGAGCCAGCTGTCACTCACGCAGCTGGGCGGATCTCGACAGTAATGTCAGGATCCGTCCCGGCTGCGGCGTCTCAGTATACCGCGAGCTGTAGCTCCCTATATACTGAGCCTAGGGTGACGGGAGGAAGCTAGTTTGTGTCCTCCCGTTACCCTAAGGAGAACTATGGGGAAAAGCCCTGACCTCATAGTTCTCCTTTAAAGTAAAATGTAAAATGATAATTGCACATTCCCCGGGATAGTGAGCATCACATACCTGGGTGAGGCCCGAGTCTCGCAGAAGCTCCTGTGGAGAACGGCCGCCAAACAGATACTGGTTGGGGGGGTGTAAGCTCAGTATTCGGGAATACACTTTGTTCCTGACCTGCAGGGCAATAAAAAAAAAAAAAAAATGTACAAAAAATGCTCCGTGTATTACAATGATAAAAACGTTACAAAAAAGAAAAGAGAGACTTATGATCAGGTCAATAAATGAAATCCATGTTTAACCACCTAGATCATAATACCAAAGCAGTACCATGAAAAATCTATCTTTTATTTTGAATTCCTACTTAGGAGGGGGCACTCCTGATATCAGTGCACATCCTGTGCCTAGGCACTCCTGATATCAGGAGTGCCTAGGTACAAGATGTGCACTGATATCAGGCGTGCCTAGGCACGCCTGATATCAGTGCACATCCTGGGCCTAGGCACTCCTGATATCAGGAGTGCCCCCTCCTAAGTAGGAATTCAAAATAAAAGATAGATTTTTCATGGTACTGCTTTGGTATTATGATCTAGGTGGTTAAGCCTAGGTACAGGGTGTGCACAGATATCAGGAGTGCCTAGGTACAAGATGTGCACTGATATCAGGCGTGCCTAGGCACGCCTGATATCAGTGCACATCCTGGGCCTAGGCACTCCTGATATCAGGAGTGCCCCCTCCTAAGTAGGAATTCAAAATAAAAGATAGATTTTTCATGGTACTGCTTTGGTATTATGATCTAGGTGGTTAAGCCTAGGTACAGGGTGTGCACAGATATCAGGAGTGCCTAGGTACAAGATGTGCACTGATATCAGGCGTGCCTAGGCACGCCTGATATCAGTGCACATCCTGGGCCTAGGCACTCCTGATATCAGGAGTGCCCCCTCCTAAGTAGGAATTCAAAATAAAAGATAGATTTTTCATGGTACTGCTTTGGTATTATGATCTAGGTGGTTAAGCCTAGGTACAGGGTGTGCACAGATATCAGGAGTGCCTAGGTACAAGATGTGCACTGATATCAGGCGTGCCTAGGCACGCCTGATATCAGTGCACATCCTGGGCCTAGGCACTCCTGATATCAGGAGTGCCCCCTCCTAAGTAGGAATTCAAAATAAAAGATAGATTTTTCATGGTACTGCTTTGGTATTATGATCTAGGTGGTTAAGCCTAGGTACAGGGTGTGCACAGATATCAGGAGTGCCTAGGTACAAGATGTGCACTGATATCAGGCGTGCCTAGGCACGCCTGATATCAGTGCACATCCTGGGCCTAGGCACTCCTGATATCAGGAGTGCCCCCTCCTAAGTAGGAATTCAAAATAAAAGATAGATTTTTCATGGTACTGCTTTGGTATTATGATCTAGGTGGTTAAGCCTAGGTACAGGGTGTGCACAGATATCAGGAGTGCCTAGGTACAAGATGTGCACTGATATCAGGCGTGCCTAGGCACGCCTGATATCAGTGCACATCCTGGGCCTAGGCACTCCTGATATCAGGAGTGCCCCCTCCTAAGTAGGAATTCAAAATAAAAGATAGATTTTTCATGGTACTGCTTTGGTATTATGATCTAGGTGGTTAAGCCTAGGTACAGGGTGTGCACAGATATCAGGAGTGCCTAGGTACAAGATGTGCACTGATATCAGGCGTGCCTAGGCACGCCTGATATCAGTGCACATCCTGGGCCTAGGCACTCCTGATATCAGGAGTGCCCCCTCCTAAGTAGGAATTCAAAATAAAAGATAGATTTTTCATGGTACTGCTTTGGTATTATGATCTAGGTGGTTAAGCCTAGGTACAGGGTGTGCACAGATATCAGGAGTGCCTAGGTACAAGATGTGCACTGATATCAGGCGTGCCTAGGCACGCCTGATATCAGTGCACATCCTGGGCCTAGGCACTCCTGATATCAGGAGTGCCCCCTCCTAAGTAGGAATTCAAAATAAAAGATAGATTTTTCATGGTACTGCTTTGGTATTATGATCTAGGTGGTTAAGCCTAGGTACAGGGTGTGCACAGATATCAGGAGTGCCTAGGTACAAGATGTGCACTGATATCAGGCGTGCCTAGGCACGCCTGATATCAGTGCACATCCTGGGCCTAGGCACTCCTGATATCAGGAGTGCCCCCTCCTAAGTAGGAATTCAAAATAAAAGATAGATTTTTCATGGTACTGCTTTGGTATTATGATCTAGGTGGTTAAGCCTAGGTACAGGGTGTGCACAGATATCAGGAGTGCCTAGGTACAAGATGTGCACTGATATCAGGCGTGCCTAGGCACGCCTGATATCAGTGCACATCCTGGGCCTAGGCACTCCTGATATCAGGAGTGCCCCCTCCTAAGTAGGAATTCAAAATAAAAGATAGATTTTTCATGGTACTGCTTTGGTATTATGATCTAGGTGGTTAAGCCTAGGTACAGGGTGTGCACAGATATCAGGAGTGCCTAGGTACAAGATGTGCACTGATATCAGGCGTGCCTAGGCACGCCTGATATCAGTGCACATCCTGGGCCTAGGCACTCCTGATATCAGGAGTGCCCCCTCCTAAGTAGGAATTCAAAATAAAAGATAGATTTTTCATGGTACTGCTTTGGTATTATGATCTAGGTGGTTAAGCCTAGGTACAGGGTGTGCACAGATATCAGGAGTGCCTAGGTACAAGATGTGCACTGATATCAGGCGTGCCTAGGCACGCCTGATATCAGTGCACATCCTGGGCCTAGGCACTCCTGATATCAGGAGTGCCCCCTCCTAAGTAGGAATTCAAAATAAAAGATAGATTTTTCATGGTACTGCTTTGGTATTATGATCTAGGTGGTTAAGCCTAGGTACAGGGTGTGCACAGATATCAGGAGTGCCTAGGTACAAGATGTGCACTGATATCAGGCGTGCCTAGGCACGCCTGATATCAGTGCACATCCTGGGCCTAGGCACTCCTGATATCAGGAGTGCCCCCTCCTAAGTAGGAATTCAAAATAAAAGATAGATTTTTCATGGTACTGCTTTGGTATTATGATCTAGGTGGTTAAGCCTAGGTACAGGGTGTGCACAGATATCAGGAGTGCCTAGGTACAAGATGTGCACTGATATCAGGCGTGCCTAGGCACGCCTGATATCAGTGCACACCCTGTACCTAGGCACTTCTGCTCTGTATCCTCGTAGCTCTATATCTGCAGTGCGAGATCATCTAAGGTAGTGGTCCCCAACCCCCTTGCCGCGGACCGGTACCGGTCCGTGGATCAAATGGTACCGGGCCGCGGGGCCCTGCACTGCCGACGGGCTTCACAGTGAGGGGGCGGGTCCTGTGACTCACCTCCCCTCCCGGCCGTGTCCATAGTAACAGGCGGCGGGAGGGGAGGTGAGTCGCAGGAGACGTGTGTGTCA